AAGAAAAGGCACGTGGCAGCGAAATTCAAAGCTCGCCAGATAAAATCAGCTGTTTTAAAAACATATATGAATTATTGCATTCCCAGGAAGGGAAAACATGGTTATCTCCAAACAAATATACATGATAAGTATATTTCTTTTTAGTTTTCAGCTATACTGTCAAACACAAAATGCAATCACTAAATATTTGGTTGATGGGTTAGGACTGAGTTTTGACAGTATAAACAATTATATCATACCAAAGAAATGACATATTTCTGTGGTGAAAGAAAACTTCATAATAACCTATTTGGAGTACAAAAGGGCTCAAATATAGCCAGACCACATTAGAGTGTGGATACCTGACTCATAAATGTAGAAATTACTGAGTTGCAGGTTGGGTTCGGTTACGTCGGCTGGGCTATCTACTACATTTTTTTTTATTTTATGATGAACCTCAGGCCCAAGCCGAGTTCAGGCACAGCAAATTTTCTCTAAGGCTTGGTTGGGTCCGGACAGAACATTGTGGCCCAAGTTGCACACTTGGCCACAAAAACTGCAGCAGCAGCAAGAACTGTAATCAATTGATTACTGCTCTTTTGGGATAAAACCAAAGGATTATTCAGAAACGCAGAAATTCAGAGAAATTCATATTTACTGAAACTAAATAAAGTTTAGTCTTAAAATTGACAAAATGTGAAAGAACTACAGTATCTGTTTGTGATAGAAAAGAATTAACCAGAAAAAGAGATACAATTAAGTTAACTTCTTCTTTACTGCTCTCTGCCTTAAATAGGGCACAATAATATGATGTGATTCAGCACAGACATATTTCACATGTACTTTCATTTCAGGTTGAGCCAGTGTTTGCCAGAAAACTGGTTTACTATTACCAGCAGAACAACGGCCACTTCCTGAGAGGCTACGATCACGTCCAGGAACAGGCCACATCTCTAACAATCGACTATCCTTCGCAAAGACCTCTACAGCACATTCAGGAGTGATACACACACACATGAGCATGGAGGTGACTGTAAACCACTGACCGTGCATTACTTTTTGTGTCTGTAGTCTTACTGTAAATGGCAGATGTGCACGGGGAAGACCCTGTTGTTTTCTTTTGCACACCTATGTGTCGCAGTCTTGCTAATGTCTTGTGTTTTGTTTTTCCACTAAAGTATTATTGTGACAGCGTGAAGGATGCGGTTTGAGGGGAGGGGTGGAGGGTGGTGGGGCAGAGGTCGACTCAGACGGGAAGTGCTCGCACAGGTGCACAGGAAGAGTGGCCCCCCGAGAAGAACACTGGTGCGTCGAAGTAGTACACCCAGAGTATGAATGAGTACTCAATGTGTTTTCACAGGTGACGGCTGACAGTGTCATTGTCGTGATCTATCTGAGACGCAGCTTGGGGTTCACGGGCCTCAGTTCTGTGTTTCAGTGGGACACACAAATATGCTTGGACTGTACCGTGAGAGAAAGCACTCATCTGGTTGTGTCGTAAAGGAAGCTCATATCGCAAATTGTTTCTCTCTTGGCTGCAGCATATAGAGCAGGACATATTTATGAAAATCCATTTCTACTGAATCTGATCGGCTTTCAACATTTTAAATACTGCAACATATCTTTTCTATTTGCTGGACTTAATTCTGATTGTTGCCCTATTTGAAACCCTATTTCCCATTTAAAATGCTCACAGTGTGAACATACAGACATGAAATATGTGATGTGCATTTGCAAGTAAACATTGCTGTGCATTAACTTCTCACAGACGATATGTGTAGGGACCTGAGGCTGATAATAGATTATCAGAGAGCAGGCCTGTGTCACCAGCAACATCTGGCTACGATGGGTGATGGTAACCTGACTGTACAGTAGGAAGTTGACTGGAAAAAGTCACACTCATCTCGTAACTCGCAAGGTACCCATACCTGTTCCTCTTCACCTGAAACTAGTGGCCTCTTAAGTGGGAAGGAAAACTACGGCTGTGGTGTTTGTGTGTTTGTGTGTTTGTATGTGTGTGTGTGTGTGTGTGTGTGTGTGCGTGTGTGTGTGCGTGCGTGTGTGCATGTGTGCATGCATGTTCAGGAGGGAGTATGTCTCTGGTTCTCATGCCTTAGATCCACTGGATGTGACATTCACGAAAAAAGCTTTTCCAAGACCTCGACAGTATGTCTCTTTCCTAATTAGGAATTTGGGAGACACACAATGCAACAGTCGGTTGTGGAGTTTGTTATTGTGTCGAAGTCCTAAAGAATGATGCAGCATCAGGAGGGACACAGGTTGTGTAGTGCTATTCTTCTGTGGTCCAGAGTTTCAGTCTCTGAATTTACTTCCTTCACACTTAAACCACATCACTTTCACAATGGCTTCAAAAGTATGACCCAAATCACAGGAGGGAATGTTTGTGTGTGTGTTGCATGCATGTGTGTGTGTGTGTGTGTGTGTGAACGAAACATACATTCTTTTCTGCTGGGTGATATTTTTATTTTTTACTTCACAGTCAGAAATTTGACTTGGTCAAAATCTAATCGTCAAAATGTTACTAGTTTAATATACAGTGTGCTATTATGGTTTGTGTAGTAAAGGGTCATATGTGCGTGTGTGTATGCTGCATATGTGTGTTTTATCAAACAGCTTCTGTTATCAGAGAGTGACATTTATGGACTCCCCCACCTAGAATGGCAGTGACTTAAGCACACACACACACACACACACACACCCACACAGTCACACACTCTATCACACACACACACACACACTTCTATCATAGTGATTAGTATCTCATTAGCATAGTGCATTGCCTACCCCTTACCCTAACCTTAACCATCCAAACTAAATGCCAAACCCAAACCTAATTCTAACCCTAACTCTAAGGCTTAACCATTAAACAGCCCTTCAAAGAGATTAGTGATGTCCTCACTTTCCAAAAATGTCTTCACTCTGTAGGGTCTATGCTTGAAATGTTCGTCACAAAGATATAAGTACAGGAACCCACACACACACACACATGCTTCAGAGGAAATCAAAAAAAAAAAAATTGTGTGCATGCTGAAAGAAAATGTTGTAGCAATAATCAGAGATTGATTAATATAAAAGTGGAACATGAATATAGATGATTTATTTTGAAATAAACATATCAATCAATTGCTACACATGTCTACTGTGTTGTTTTGTCTTTGAGCTCCTCTGATTCGCAAAAGACGGTACAAGCATGAGACTCATATTTGGTTAGAAAAAGAACAAAAAAAACACATTCACACGTTTTGCCATGGTGTTTCCCCCTCTGCAGGAAGCCACATCATTTGTAGTCAGGCTTCAGCTTATCCGCCTGTATATGAGCCGTTACTCCAAGCG